CGTCGAAAGATGTTTTCTGGATTATAATAGATGGGATGTAGATTTTACGTTTCTTTGCAGACGGAGGTATAGAGGAATCGTTTACTACTATGTTATTATTTTCCTCTCCTTATTACGATAACTCACCATTATCGCTCATACTCCGTACGAGGTAGTAAAATGTATAGTTGTATTGTTGATGAGAATAGAATTCGGAATATTTTTGATTATTCCTCGGCAGTTCATATTCCATATTGTTTTGAAATTTCTCCCAGGTATTCCGATGGAAATGGATACCAGTAACTGAGTTTTGTGATAATTTAATCGCTGGCTCAAATATGTCATCTTTGTTCAATGCTCGCAAACCCATGAATCCTCTTTGTATCAGAATTGTTGAGCCCGTGAGGAATTGCTAGTTTCCCATTGGGCGCCTTTTCACTTGGCGGATTACAAGAAGCTCACCGTTTTGTCATCTCTAACCGGAGAGTACCGGGGAAATAAAATATCCGGGGTGGACCAAAACTAGCAAATTAACCCTTTTCCTCCCACATAACACAAATTTTTTTTTAACTTTCAACCTTATATCTTTTAACGAAAAAATCATATGAAAATTTATCAAACATCATTTCTTATAGATTTTGACCTCCTCTTTCGAATGCCGTTGAGAAATTTTACCCAAATTGTAAGCCGGAAAAGTTATAGACCGTTTTTCCGAAAAATTCACAAATTTTTCACGGTTTTTTTTTAATGTTTATTTTGATTTGGAAAAAATTTGCACACGTCATCGCAATCACCATAAACGGTGTTATAGATGTCTGCTCTTTCAAATCCCGTTGCATTTTTTTCAAAATTTAAAGTGGCGAACACAAAATGGCGTCCGAAAGGGAAAATTTTTTGTATCAACTTTGCGAATTTTTTTCTCAAAAACTATTAAGTTTGGTGAAAAATTCCTAAGAACAAAAATGTCTTAAAGTCAGTCAAAAAATACCCTCAAATTTTTTCAGAACGGTTTTACAACATTTTTGAAAACATTTATTTTTTGAAACGATACAGCACTGTCCGTTAGACATTGCAGTGCTGTATCGTTTCAAAAAAAAAATTTTGAGTAAGCCACTATAGTGGCGTGTCGTCCTGAAAGATGATATCCGCGAAAGCCACTATAGTGGCGTGTCGCCCTGAAAGATGATATCCGCGAAAGCCCACTATAGTGGCGTGTCGTACCTAAAAGGTTAAACGTAGAAATCGACAAGAAATTAGTCCGAAATTAGTCAATCGGAAAGGTATTGTTTTCCATCACGAAAATGCTAGGACTAATACTTGTTTGCAGGCCCGACAAAAATAGTTGGGGTTTTGCTGAGATGTTTTGTCTCACTCACCGTATTCACCTAACATAACACTTTCTGTTTACTACACATTTGAGTTCTTGCAAAATTTCCTTAATGATATAAGCTATACTTCTTTGGAACGCATCAAAAACTACCTGGACAACTCTTTTGCCGAAAAAACCCAGGACTTTTACAAGAGAAGAATTATAAAATTATCCAGAGGATGGTAGACTATTGTACAACAAAATGATGCATATATTACAGATTAAAATTATTTTAAAGTGAAAAAACCTTTCATTTGAATTTTGCTTGAAAATCCGCACGAATTTTCTGGATAATTCAATATATAAAGACATGCAGTACCCTTTAACATTTGTTTTTACCAAATTTTTAAATTTTTTAAAAACTCTGATGACGGAAATAAATAAAAAATTAGACTTTTAAAAAATGCAATTACACTATTGTACA